GCAAAGGCCCCGATTTAAAACCAAGTAAAAAAAAAAAAAAAAAAAAAAAGTCTTTAGACTGAAAATAACTTTTTTGGTCAGCTTAAAGTGTTTCTCATTTTGATTGTTTTTTTTTTCTTTTCTGAAAATTCAATTATTCCTGAGTACTGTTTTAAATGTGAGAATGTTTTTATTAAAACTTTATTATTAATATATGATCTTTAAAACATAATTTCTTGGGCTGGGGATTTAGCTCAGTGGTTCCGGCACCTACCTTGGAAGCGCAAGGACCCGAGTTTGATCCCCGGTACCAAAAACAAACAAAACAATTTCTTCTCAAAGCTGATTCTCTGAAAAAGTAGGCATTGGACCAGAAGTTGAATTTAACTTCTATGTTTTTGATACTGGGGATTGGACTCAGGTTCGGCACCACTGAGCTAAATCCCCGTCCCTGAATTTAACTTTGTATTGCTAAGAGCTGGGTGTGATAGTGCACACCTGTAATCCCAGCACTTGATGGCAGTGAGTTCAAGGTCAGCCTAGGCTACATAGTTCATGGGCGGGCTGAACTACATAGACCCTGTGTCAAAAAATTGTTAAGAAATTTTGTATTGCTAGTAATCAGTTAAAATTCTTTCAACGAAAATTACTTTATATTATAAATTATGTAATATAATATGGTGCCTTTAAGTTTAAAAAACTGCCACTTATTTGGTCCCTATTTTATCCCAGGTATTTTACATACAGTATTTTATTTAATCCTCACAGATCACCAGGTAAGGAGTTCATGAATCTAGATCAGGGATCTTAAATCCAGGTTCTCCTGCCTTCTAAAGTTAATTCAGACTTAGTCTTTAAAGCCAACAGATCTTAAAATGTTCTCTCCCTTTCCTCTTTTCTTTCTTCTCTTCCTTCCTCCATGTTGCCCAGTCTAGCTCCAGACTCCTGGACTATCCCATTTTAGCCTCCCACTAGCTGGGACTATAGGCACACACCACTGTGCCTGGCTTGTTAGGATTTTTTTTGTTTTGTTTTTGTTTTTTGAGACAGGGTCTCACTACGTAGTTGAGACTGACCTGGAACTCACTCTGTAGCCCAGGCTGGTCTCGAACTCACAGTGATCCTCCTGCCTCAGCCTCCCGAGTGCTGGGACTACAGGCATGTGCCATCACGCCTGGCCCAGGATTTTTTTAAACTCAAAGGTTGGTGATGAATAAATATTACAAAATGGATGCATTAAAACATGGTTTTAGCCATCTAAGGTGGCACATGCCTGTAATCTCAGCAATCTGAAAGGCTGAGACAGGAAAATCTAAAGTTTGAGGGCAGTTTGTGCAGCTCAGCAACTTAGCAAGACTATTTTTCAGTTTCTTTTCTGCTGAGACTTGAGGCCATGCACCCACAATTTAAAAGAGAGGTTTAATTTGGCTCAGTGTCAAAGAGCATTCAGTCTATGGTTGACTGGCTCCAATAGAAACATCATGCGAGGGCATGGCAGAGCAAAGGCGTTTGTTCACAGCAGCAGTAGTAGAGCCAGAAAGGAAGGGCCAGGAACCAGATTTAGTACCCAAGTCCCTATCTCCAGGACCCTCCGAGAAGCCCAGAAGTGTGCTGTAATTCCGTCAGCTGCTCCCTAGCCAATCAGGTTGACACAATTACGAACCATCACAGAAGGGAGGGCAGAGGAATGGGGAAAAAATAAACTATCATGTAAAGGTACAAATTCCCAATGAATTGTCATCATGTTGTATACCTAAAATGTACCAATAAACTTAATTTAAAAACAAACATCACAGAGACCTTGTCTCAAAACTAAAGGTGTTAGGGCCAGGGATTTAGCTCAGCAGTTCCGCTGCTTGCCAGAGTTTGATTCCTGGTACCGAAAACAACTAAAGGGATTAGGGGTGTAGCTTAGTGTGAAAACCCTGGGGAGATCCTTTAAAAAGTGACCAGTAAGCCAGGTGTGCAGGGGTACACCTGTAATTCCAGCACTTGGGAGGCTGAGGATGGAGGATCGCTGTGAGTTCCAGGTCAGTCTCAACCACATAGTGAGACCCTGTCAAAAAAAAAATGTGTATTTGAAAACTGGCTTGTAACCATCCAAATTTACATGTTAAAACCAAATTTCTCATCAGCAAGTGCAACTAACGGTCTGAATTGGGAATAAATTTGAACCATCAGTTACTTCATTTTAGCCTTTATGCCTTTTTTTTGGTTTTTATGAGACAGGGTCTCACTATGTAGTTGAGACTGACCTGGAACTATGTAGCCCAGGCTGGTCTTGAACGCACAGTGATCCTCCTGCCTCAGCCTCCCAAGTGTTGGGGGATTACAGGTGTGTGCCACCGCGCCCGGCCTTTAGGCTTTGTATTCTTCAGCTACTCAGTTATTCACAATAGAAATATCTTAGTCAAAACTAATATATATGCAGAATTAATTTGTAACTCTTCCTAGTTTTTCACTTGTTCTTATATAGATAATTATTAGGCTCAATTCTGCGTTAGTTTTCCATTGTTTTAATACTGCATACTTCGTCAGCCCTCCCAACTGTCAAAAAAAACATGAGTACTTCCTAGAGTACTAAACAAGTTTAAGAAAACAAACAGCGTTTATGCTGTCATGGACTTGTGACTTTCACTTTCACTGGCTCCCATTTTGATTTGGTACCATCTGAAAGAAAGTATGGTAGAAAGGCTTTCTATTTTTGAGTCCTGCCTCAGCCTCCCTAGTGCTGGGATTGCAGGCGTGCACCACCACACCCAGATAGAAAGGCTTTATGTTTGTGTTCAGTGAACTAGCCACGTGCAACATGGCCAGCACTAAATGTGACTGGTATAACTGAGGAACTGCATTTTTAACTTGAATAGCTGTATGTGGTTAGTGGCAACTACATGATAGCATACTTACATTCAAGTTTTTCATAATACTAGGGACTGAACCCAACATCTCATGAATGCTATCCAAGTGCTGTACCACTGAACTGTATCACCAGCTGCATGTATGTATGTGTGTATGTGTGTTGGTTGGTTTTGTTGAGTCTTGTTATGTAGTTCAAGTTGGTCTTGAACTCAGTGTATAGTCCAGGTTGATGTCAAACTCATGGTAATACCCCTGCCTCAGCCTCCCAAGTGCTGGAATTATAGGAATGCAGCACACCTGACCCGACCCTTTAATTTTTGAGACAGGCCCTCATCAAATTGCCTAAACTGCCCTTGAACTTGTACTCCGAGTTTCCTGAGTAGCTCTGGTGAGGTGTGTACCTAAGCACCTGGATTGTCAGCTCTACCCTTCAGTTTAGGTCTCCCACCATCTAGTCTGTTATACACCAGCCTGGTTTCTCTTTTTTAAGTTCAATCAAATCTTCCCAGCTGCTCAAGTATGATAATGAATCCACCCCTTATACTATAGTCCCCCTTTATCCATAGTCTGAGTTAGAGTCAACTGCAGCTTAAAAATACTAAATGGGGGCCAGGGATTTAGCTCAGTGGGACTGCACCTGCCTCACAAGCACAAGGTCCTTAGATAATCTCCAGTACTGGGGGGCGGGAACCTAAATGGGAAATTCCAGAAATCAATACTTCAGTGTTCTACATTGGAAACCATTCTAAGTAGTGTGGTCATGTACCATCCTGTCTGAAATGAATCCTCTGTCCAGTAAGTTCAGCACAGCCATACTATACACCCAACCTTCAGTAACATTAGTGGATCGACGATCATAGTATTACAGGGCTTGTGTACAAGTAGCCACATTTTACTCAGTAATGGCCCCAAAGTACAACAGTAGTGATGCTCGCATTTTTATTACAGAATGATCATTTAAACTTTGTCATTGTTCTTATAGGATGCCTTAAACAAAACATGCATTTAGGATTCAGTACTGTGGAAGGTTTCAGGCATAACTATCACCAGCTGAGGCCCAGGGATTCAGCTCAGTGACACTATGCCTGCTTCACGAACACAAGATCCTGAGTTGATCTCTGGTACTAAGGCGGGGAAAAAAACCCAGTTGCGGGGGGGATGGAGTGGCTACTGCTTGTGTGAAATTGACCAAAAAAGTATTGGTGTTTCTCCAAGTGACTAACCACTCAAACCTGACTGTACAAGTTTGAAGCAGGACTCTTGTCTTCCTCATAAAATTCCATTCTCAAACTTGTGATCCTCCTGCCTCAGTATCCCCAAGTGCTGGGATTACAGGTGTGTCACCATGCCCAAGGTTGTCATTTCCTTAATTAAAAACCTTACGTGAAAAAGAAAAAGTGTTAAATATACAATTTTGAGTCAAAAAAACAAAAGAGATTTGGGGATAAATACTACTGTATTTATTTTCTCTACAGCTTCAACATTTTTGCCTCAAAAGAACAAAGTTTAGAACTGGATCACTTGGCCCTTTCTCTTCTTGTCTCCTCCCAGTTCAAAATGCTTGCATCTTTTAATGGCCAGCATCCTCTTCGATCTGCAGTTAGGCTCCACACACTCAAGCCTCAGCACAATCTTCTTCGTGGTTTTAGCCTTCTTCCGGAAAATTGGTTTTGTCTGCCCACCGTAGCCACTCTGCTTCCGATCGTAGCGCCTCTTTCCCTGGGCATACAGGGAATCCTTGCCCTTCTTATACTGGGTCACTTTGTGAGGCTGATGCTTGCCACACTTCTTACAGAAAGTCCTTCGGGTTTTAGGTACGTTGACCATCTCGGCAGGAGAGTTGTCTACACGGTAAGAACTGCAATAAAATATTTAAAATAAGATAGAGCACATGAAACATTCTGAAAACTGTAAAGTGCTATATAAATATTTATGGGAAAAGGGCGTGACACAATTTAGTCATGTAATCCACTCACGGTTTGAGACAGGTTCTCCTGTGTAGTCCAGGCTAGCCTCGAACTTGTGGCAACCTTCTGCTTCAGCCTCTCCCGGGATTACAAGCATGTACCACCATGCCCGGCAACCCCCATGTTTTTGGAATGCTTAAATTACTGGGCAGGGCAGGGGTGTAACTCATTAGGAGAGGGTTGTTTTATAGTGCGAGGCTTGGGTTTGACTCTCAGCACTACAGGCATACCGGGAATCGCCAGAACAATCGGTTCTCCCGTACAAAGTAGGTTTTCTTAACGCTTTGCTCAGAAAAAAACACTGGTAGTGTTTTTCTAATTTTCCTCCGCAGAAAAGAGTAAAGCCTAGTTCCTTTGCGGCTCCGTTCCCCTCCCCCACGTCCTCCATTTTCTAGTTCTGGGGCATAGCTGGGGCAGTCCGGGATGTAGCAGCTTTACGACTCGCCCTGTTCCTTCTCAAGATTCATCGATCTGGTTTCACTTCTCCGCTCCGCGGCACGCTCACCAGTCAGCAGCCGTGAAGGCTGACGTGTCCTTAGCTGGCTGGCCTCGCTGCCCAGAGGCCGCCATGCCTTAGCTCGTTTAAGGATGTAGAAGCCAGTCTCAATTCCACTAAGCCAAGCATGAGGGTCTCGCCTCCCCTTTCATACAAAAACCTACTCCACTCCCGGTTTCTGAGCACTGAGGGACCGGGTCCGAACCTACTCAGCCAGCTTCTCCACTTACCGAGAGACACGCCGTCCGCACTCCGCACCCCGCACCTAGCACCGATCGCGCCTCACCGGAAAGGGAGGGACGAAGCGGAAGTAGGAACTGAGCTTGAGCGACATGCCTGCGAGCCAATAGACAGGCGGCTATGGCGGCGAGGCGCCTGCGGACTCATCTGCGAAGCGCCAACCACAGGCCTCGGGGGCGGGCTGGAGGGTGTGGGCCGGGGGGCCCCGGCTCTCCGCGGGCCAGTTGAGGGTTGTCAGAACCGTAGCTGCTGGAGTGGGGTGAGGTTGTCTCGCTCTTGTTGGCCGCCCCGAACCAAGTCAGGATGAGAACGCAGGGGACGCAGGGCCCTTGGAGGCGCAGGTAACGAAGCTGGGGTGCGGTGGGTCTGTGGCTGGGCTTCTTCCAGGACCCGTGGTGCTGAATGGAGAAGACCGAGGCGACGCCGAGCCGCGGCTCCTAGCGGCGGGGCCGCTGTCTGAGCTGCAGCTGCAGCTGCCGGACGAGGATGTGTGGAGACCGGGCGGCGCGGGGCAGCTGAGAGCCTTCGGGGCCCAGGACC